CACACACACACACACACATACAAACATACATACATATTATGCAAAAATGAAATTTTTAGATTGAAAGCATGTCGGAAATGCAAAGAATTGATCAACATTAGCTGTTGAGTCAAGATTTCCGCTTTTTTCGGCAATGGTTTTTGGATTTTGCTTTTAAAAAAACTCTATTGAATTTTTAATGCTGCTGTTTAGATCGATGGGTGTTCCTCGGCAGCAAGAAGTTCGCATTCACAATCCAACAGCATCAACAGTTCGTTTCGATGCCATCTCCGGCTCAACTCTTCATTTTCATTGCTCATTTCCTGAAGACAAGGTAAAAATTTTGTAGTTGTTATTATTATTATTATTGTCATTATTATTATTGTTATTATTATTGTCATTATTATTTGTTATTATTATTATCATTGTTGTTATTATTATTTTCCCCTCTGTTATTTTTCTTGGAGTTATTATTACTGTTAAAATTCTTCACGTTTGTTTTTTTGATATTTTTGTCATATTTTTATTATTATTGTTAATTACAGTTGTTACTATAATTTTTTTTTTATTATGATTACAGCTTATCTTTTAGGCTTATAAAAATTTAAATCTAACAATTTTTTTTTGATCTGCCTATTTATAAATAAATAAATAAATATATATGTATATATGTACATACATAAGCATGTACATGGATTAGCGTATTTTAATAGAACTTCCTAAATTTTCAGACGGTGAATCCTGGCGACGCAACCACATTTAGTGTTGTTTTTTTGCCCCGACAGGAGGGCACGATTGAAAATGTCCTCTTCGTTCATTCATCTTTGGGCACATTCACTTATTCGGTACAATTTTGATTTTTCGTACCAGTAAACTTCATTTTTTTGAAAAATTGAACATTTTCGATGTAGGGCCTTTTGAGCACAACAGGTAGTGTGCAGAACTTTTGCTAGCTTTTTATCGTAGCTCAGGGACCTCTTAGGCATTTTCCCGATCAGTCAGATTGAACTGTACTACGTAAAATGCTTTTGCCTTGATACATTTATCTGATAGCATCTTGCCCTCTAGAAGATACGGGATTTCAGCAGACAGGTATTTTTTTATTCCGTCGATAAACGGCCAATTTTTAAAAAAATATTAATTTTATTACTTGCATTCCTGACAATTTGTGGATGGTATGTACACTGCTAGTGAGAGTTATTCGTGAAAAAGTAAACGACCACTCGGGCGGCTTCCGAAGAAGTGAGGCATACCTAAAACTGGTGGTAGTTATTAACTGGAAGTATGTGGCTCAGGATCGAACATCCTGGCGTACCTGCATTTGGCGTTTGGGAGCATCCCAGTAACATCACTAACATGGAATTGCCTCCACTCTGATTGTCCCGACGGTCTTGAGATTTTTTGATGTTAGCCTTATTTTTGGCGAATATTTAACCTCAGTTTAAATTCAATCATAACATCAGTAACATGAAATCGGCGCCACTCTGATTGTCCCGGCGATCTTGGGATTTTTTTGATGTTAGCCTTATTTCTGATGAGTATTTTTAATTACAATTCAAATTCGATCATTTTAAAAAATTTAATTTTCAATTTTTTTTTTGATTTTTTTCAATCTCATGCTTTACAGGTGAGGGGGAAAGGAACGGGTAGCGCCTATCGAATACGTCCATTAGTTGGTGGAAAATTACCGGTGAATGGTACACTGATATCACCGGTGCAGTTGCACAATCCACATCCAACAACATTGCGTGTCACCGAAATCTACACCAGTGGTGGTGATTTGCACCTGGAATTACCGCAAATCGGATCCCAAACACAACATTCTGCCACTTTATGGGTAAGTTTGTGATTTTTCCCAAACGCCATATGATTTCGTGCGTTTTTTTTTTTTTTTTGGGGGGGGGGGGGGCGGGGGGGGGGGG